AACGGCATTGATTACTTACTCTTTGCGTCATACTCGCAGCGTCAGGAGTCTCTCGCTGGGACAGTGCAGCTTTTCGTTTCTTGTGGCTTGCCTCCAACGTTTGGCTCCCTGGCCTGGGCAAATGCCCCGTTCCTGTCCGGCACAACGGTGCTCTACCCGACGATAGCTCTTCTACGTCCGGAACGGATAAAGATCAACAGGTTCAGAACATGACCTTTTTGGAGTTTGAGGGGTATACGCATTTCCTAGGCGCTCCGTTTTTCTACATCCGGGTCCCCTTTCATTGTGCGCCGGCCTCGCTTGCTTCAATCAGCGATACCGCCAGGTTGGGCTTTTGAGTCCCTTTTTGGTGGCATATTCTCGTTTCTTTCATAAGATTCCCTATTTTGAAATACCGTGATGTACGCATTGTCGAGAAAACGTAGGATGGTTCTCACCGCGGCACAGGCAAATAATCGATAGCATCTTGGCTTCACGTCCTCGTAGCCGTCCGAGGACTAGAAAGATGTGGACAATATAGAAAGCGGGGAAAAACGGGCGAATAAAACGCATAAATGATGATGTTAATTTGACAATATGACGAAAATCACATCCGCCTCCACACAATTCGCGCGTTTCAGCGTCGAAGGTCGGAGCGTATAGTAAAGTTCAAAAACTAACATGGAGAGGTACACTACTCGTGACCAACTCATCAATTTCGTCCAGCGAACTAGCAGGGGTGCTGCAAGCGGTAATTTATGCACTTACTTTATATCAGACCAATTCGAAAGGGACATAATGGAAAATACGACGTGTCCCCTCAATCACCGGCTACTTGTCTTTCCTGAGACAGGCGCTCATTCACCCCGTCCAGTGCAGACGACCTCTCGTTCAGGAGCAAGATAATTGAGCCTCCAGTACTGGCACGAGCGATGGCCAGGCGCTGCTTCTGCCCTCTGCTCAAATTGATACTCCCTTTACCCACCATGATCTGACATCCCTCTGGTAGGCTCATATTGTTTGGTGAATGTGTGCATTCCTGCATGCATCGCGACGATCTTTCAGAGTGGTCTCGAAAATCACGCTCATGAATACAGTAGGCCGTTTGTGGCTGCAGCCACTTCACATTCAGTTGCTGAGCATCCATCGGCACCGTGCGAGGCAACATTCTGCAAGCCTTGAGAGAAGGAAGCATAAATTCCCTTAGAAAGCTCTCCTTAGTGCTTGCCTCCTGCACTATTCTCTGCTTTTTGTCGTCCAGGTTGCCTCATCCGAGACCAGAACGGACGAATCAACGGAACCAAAGAGAAAAAGCGGCAATTGACCGGCCACAGCACCTCCGACCCGTGGCCCCATTTGGACCTTTCTTCTCAATTACCTTTCCCTCTTCTAACCCGATTCTATCAACCATCGTGTTCGATTTGCTTTCACATTATCTTGCAGGCCTAGCGCCTAAACTGTACTCGGCGCCTTGCGTCCTGCAGCCGCATAGACCAGATTCTCCTCTTTCTGCGCACAAGTCTGTATGGCAATCATCACGGGCATCGCCGGTATGATATCTGGGGTCACACAAAGTAGCACCGCAGTCAGTCGCGAGGACTGCAAAAAGGCGACATCGAACCTCCCAAAAAATTTACAGACTTACTTCGCCACGTCTCCATTTTGCCGGCTGAACCCACCCGCCAAGGGCACAAGGGTCGCGTGATTGTGGTCGCACTTCGTGCCTGTATATCCATACAACTGATGTCCTGCCTCATCGAAGCCTTCACGTATTACCACGGATTACGTGCCGACGGCTTCTGTCTCCTCGGATTGAATGTCATCCCCCGACCCTTGCGTGGCAAAAGGTGCCTTTGGTGCATAAACGATAATATAAAGCTTAAGGTACTGTTGATGTGTAAATTTTGGAGATAGGAGGCACATGACATATTCGGATGGGGGTTGCGCCCCGTTGCAGGCAACAGCCTCGCCTACATTCCGCGGACACATTCCGCGGAGCTCAGTGGGAGTACTGGAAGGTAATGTTGCTTTTTAAAAAAGAAATGTGTCAATCAAATTCTTGACAATGTCATATTTTTTACTGTCCCTTGCAAACTTTGAAGATTGGGATGAAGGATCATGAGCAAAGTCTCATAGAAAGCGAGAAAAAAATAACGGCCACGGAGCCGTTAAGTGCATTCGGTCCTTCATGGATCCGTCGTGACCCGTCGTCCCTCTTACAAAATCACCCCGTGCGACCAACATGCCACAACAGCCAAAGTATTGAGTCCTCTTGAACAGCGTGACAATGGCTGAGGAGCGTGGCGACGAGATGGCGGGCGAGAATCTGGGATTTGGATTCGTCCCCGGGGAGTGGAACGAACTAATTGGAGAAGACATCAAATACAAGGTAGGAATCGGGAGTAACAGGCAATTCAAAGAGATTGTATAACGTGAAAAGGAAGAAATTTCGTAGCGAAAGTTTCTTTCGGCTAATCACTCCTGTGTGAAGGTGAAATAGACCAGTGTGGAATGCGCACTTGTACTTTTCGCTTTGCTATCATCAGCCTCAGCCTTGTCACCCTGGAGTTCGATGGGAGAATGCGACCCTTTTGGACCTCAGACGATTTGAATATGGAATATAAAATAGGTGCTTACCCCGGGGCATGGCCCCATAGCGGAGGTCCAAATGATGCTGCGATGTAAATATGTCGGACGGCTTCGATCAACGGGGCAAATCTTTGAAGTTGCGGAGGACACTGGTTACCGAATCGGAGAAAGCGACACCACTCCCGCCCTGGAACTCGGTCTGCGCCATATGCGAAAGGGGGAAAAAGGCATGGTTCATGCGGAGGCTAAGTACGGCTTCGGCCCCCCCGGTCGTCCGGTTGTGGCGCCGGGGGCGGAGGTGGCGGTTCCCCCGGACGCGGCCCTTGAGTACGAGATCGAGGTCATTGACATCTTGCCGCCTTTCAACCCTAAAGATGCGCCGTTAGAGGCACGTCTGGGTGAGACCGAGCTGAAAAAGCGACATGGGAACGGATTTTTCCATCACAAGGACTATACTCGGGCCATCCGTTGTTACCAGGCAGGACTGAAAGCCTTGGATGCAGAGAGTGTGGATGGGGAAGAGGAGGACGAGGAGGCTTATGAAGCTATGGTGAAAATGTTTTGCGACGTGAGCAATAATTTGGCTGCGGCCTTGATCAAGCTTGAGCGTTGGAAGGATGCCAAGGTAAGCAAGGACCTCGACCGCCATCAATGTGCTGATGACTCCTTGCGTCTTTTCGTCTCCTTCATTCCACACACATTGAACCTTTCTTTGACAAACGCATGATGAACCACAGGAAGTGTGCGTGAAGGTCATCGAAGTGGATAAAGACAACGTGAAAGCCCTTTATCGCGGCGGAGTAGCGGCCCTTCGACAGGACAATTTCTTGGAAGCGGAATTAGCTCTCAAGGAAGCCGCGAAACTCGCTCCCAAAGATAAGCTGATCCATGCAGCCGTTCAAGAATTGTATCGGAATCGGACTCAGTATATTGAGAAGGAGAAAGTCATGATGAAGAAGATGGGAGGCTTCCTTTTGACCCCTGCAGCCACCGGCATAGAGGACAAAGAAGGAAAGGAGCCAATTGATACAGAGGAAATGGATGAGAACGCAGCACAGGCGCATAACGAACAAATCAAACGAAAGGATATACCAGATACCATGAGTGAAGCCAAGAGGGACCATTCGAAAGTAGAGGCAGTCGATGCGGTGGTAAGGGAGGAAGAGGAGGAGAATCAGTCGCAAACGACGGCCGAAATTACTGACGATGCTGCACCTCTGGAACAGGAAAATCGTCCAATCAACCCATGGCTTGCCTGGTACATATCGCACTACGATTGGTTTGTGACTGCGGCGTTCATAATTTTACCATTACTCTTCCTCTGGGGTGACATTAAGTCGTCGTGGGCGCGTAGATTAAGTGAGGTTGGCAAAGGAGGAGGCCAGGTGGGATCAGCGGGCGAACTATGAATCAAGTATGCTCGTACAATATAGAATTCCATGAAATATATCTCAGAAAACTGGAGGTTAGAGTATAGAAAAAGAAAAAGCGCACGTCAACACACTCAGAGGAGGATTAACCTCCCCACCCTGCCTAGGGGGGTACTACTGAAACTTGCTCGTAGTTAATTTAACGAGCGCCCTTGATATCTTGATAACATAATCGCTTATTCATGCAAAGTATATGGTTTCTTTACAAGGGTGAGATATGGGGGATCAACATGCAGTGGATCTGGCCTCTCAAACGGTTGAGTCGCTGCACCTCGACGAGGACGACGAGTTTGTGACCCCTTCTCCGTCACCTTGCACCCGCGAACCCGAAAATACGCCCGCTTCCACCCTTCCAAACCCGAAAGTCACCTCGCCTGCCTCTTCTCCCGCGTTGGTGTCTCCCCGTACCAATAGTGTGGTGGAAGGTGTGGATCCTTGCGGCGCGACAAGCAAGCCTTCATCACCGCCCCCTCCGGAATCACAAGCAATCGCCTTGAGCACAGGGAAGCACTTTTTTGTCCTCAGCCATGCAGGAAAACCCATATATTCTCGACTTGGCGACGAGCAGCAGCTTGGTCCGGTGATGGGAATGGTGCAAGCCGTTGTCAGCTTGTCGCAGAGCCTTGGTAATCCTCGTCGGAATGGGGATAAAGGGGGCAAAGAGACGACAAAGTCGTCGTCCCGGCACTCGAACGGCAATGAGGCAAATTGTTGTCTTCGTTCCATCCGCACTGTCGGTGGATGCCGGCAATTTGTCTTCCTTCTCCGCCAGGAGCTGATTTTTATGGTGGTGAGCAACACCCGCGAGCCCGAGCCTTTTCTCCGCCTGCAACTAGAATACCTTTACCATCAAATCGTCTTCCTTCTTACCTCCCCTCGTATCACGCATTGCTTTGCTGTCAATCCTGCGTATGACCTTCGCGAGCTCCTGGGCGGGACGCATCGGATATTGTCAGGGATCGCGGACATGGCCTCGCCCACCCGCGACTCCCTCGGGAACCTCCTGACCAGCGCCGCGCACGCCCTCCCCTTGGACCCCACTCTCCGCCACGACCTGGCGCAAGCCCTCGTTAATATCTGCGCTTCCACTCCAGGACTCCAGCCTGTGCTCTACGCCCTCCTTCTGTCTGGCAACCGGCTGGTCACCCTGGTGGAGCCCCGGGACCCGCCCTGGCACCGTTTGCGCGCCTCCGACCTCCTTCTGCTCTCGAATTTCCTTACCACCCAGCCCTTTTTCCGGACGGAGAATGAAACGTGGACCCCCATCTGCCTCCCTCGCTTCAATGACACGGGCTTCTTGTACGCCTTCGTGGCCTGTATGGATCCACGCCACAGTCTCTATCTGCTCCTCGTCTCCCCTACGCAGGAACCGGAGCAATTTCGGGCCTCCAGTAAAGTGCGGAAAGCCGCTCAAGCCCTCTTTGAGGAGCGCGGGTGGCTCGCTGCTTTGAAGGAGGCGGCGGCTGGAGAGCATAGGCAACGGGCGCTCAACAAATATTCGAACGCCGGCATGGCCTTTCATTTCATGTATAAATTTTGCCCAGTGACAGGGAGAGAGGGAGGGAGGGGGGAGAATGGGAGAGGAAGTGGAGGAAAAGGAGACGGAAGGGACACGAGCGACAGGGCAAGGGCCCTACCGCAGAGCATCTCCTCCAATTTTTTTTTCCCCTACGTGGACGAGGAGGCGAAGCAGGCGGTCTGGAACCTATACGCGAAGGCCTTACTGCAGTTGCGGTACGGGAGTAGGGAGGGTGGGACTGGTTGGGCTCACGCGGGGGATCGCATGGACTGCATCTTCAAGGATGCGGGAGGGGAGGGAGGAAAGGGGGTGGGCGTGGGGAACCGTGAAAGGCATTCAACGTCCCTGTCAGCATCTTCCGGGCCCTCATCCAGTGGCGTGGACAGGGTCCCTGACGATGCGGACAGAGGGGGCAGGCGGCGACGGAGCGATGACAGTGGAGAAAGCGGTAAGGGCTGCGTGGATTGTATGATGGAGGTCTTTGAAAAGAAAAACGTGCACAGCTTAGTATACGAACTGCGGGAAACGGACTGTCTGGTTGTGAGCGTCGGCCCGGATTTTGAGCTCTTTGCCTTGCTCTCGGCGGCACCGACCTTGAGAGAAAGCTTGCAGTCATTGAATCGGATGCTTCGCGCCATCAAACGGGACGAACGGTGGTTGTTCATGGTAGAGGCCGCTCATTGGTGAGCGGAAGGGGCTCAGAGTAAGAACGCGGGGGACGTCAAAAGTACAAGCGTGCCTGCAGACACTGCCAAGAGAATTACATAAAAAGTAGCCAACATCTCATCATTGTTTTGAGAGGTACGTGTTGCTTCATCTATAAGCCTAGACGCTGCCCACGGGTGCCCGTCTGCATTAAGATCCGGCCACACGACCAAAACTCTCGGGAGAGACCTTCTCCTTCCCAATGCTTTGCCATCAAAGGCCCCTCGGATCCACGCTCCCATCCCTTTTCAATCTATCTACATGATACAGAGATTTTTACCCTTTCGCGAGACCGACGGCCAACCGCCAGCCAGGGCGGTGTTCTAACCCCCAGACTGCCACCGGTTTTCCGGCCACACACATTGTGTAGTACTTCGCGCCATTTCCCAGCCTTTCCTCTTAACTGTACATCCCTGCACTTCTCCCTCCCCTTAGTCTCCCTTGTTTCTATCCACCTTCTTTCTGCGTCCTCCGACGTGCATTCCAAGGCATCACGATTGTCCCGCAGGACCTCGGGGCCTGGCTCCCACTATCAACACCACGCCTGCTCCTCCAATAATTTCACAATCCACCCCACCACCCCAACCCTTTCATCAGACCACCTCGTTCGACACATGCAGCACGTAAAATTTGACTCCCGCCTGCAGGTGGTAAGGGTTCGACGCCGGCTCTCCCTCCTTCGCCACCATTTCCTCCACATAGACGATCTTGCCCAGGATGAAATCAGGGAACCTGCCCCCTCCCTCCCGCCCTCCCCGCAGGCTTTCCAAGGACTCGTGAGAGAGGTACCGGTGGGGACAATTCGTATGAAAGGCCAGGTAGACTCGATTTTCTCCCTGGTGGGAGGTGGGGAGGAAGAGTGCCACGTCACCCACATTGAACTCTCGGAAGGAGATCTTGGCGTGGCTACCGGGAGACGAAGGCGCCGGGCTTATGCTTAGGGACGGCGTGCTGGGACTCATGTTTGTGCAAGGGACCACGCCTTCTTTACCCCTCTCCTTCCCCTCGCCTCGCGACGCTTGGAGCTCTGCCTGTAGATCTCTCAGACGGGCCTTGACGAAGCTCGCCGTATCATCGACCGCGTTCACGAGGTGCTGGGGTGAGGAGGAGGGAGAAGGTGACCCCGCCCCTTTCCCGGCTTCCCTCCCTCCTTCCCGTGCCCGTGTCACCGCCTGTTCCCTCTCAGCCTCACAGCCACTGCCACTGCCGCCAGTGGAAGCGGCGCATTGACGCATTTCCTCCATCACGTTCAATACCGTCTCCATGCACGAACGAAGTAGACTGTTCTCCTCTTCCACGCGTTGAAGCCTGGCACCTGCACCCTCCCCATCCCCTCCAACCCCCGCATCCCCGCTTTTCTTCCTCCCTGGAGGCGCCCGGTGATGCAAGTTCAGAGATTGCACCTTAGTCTGCAGTTGCGCAATTACTAGATCCTGGGTCATGCACCGTTCTTCCAACTCCTCCAATGTCGGCGTGCTCTCCGCACCTGGCATGATCTCTTTTCCTCCGTCTTTCCCTGCCTCCTTCCCCTCTTCCTCCCTATCCGCACCTTCCTCCCTTGACACCCGAGCCAGACATGAGACGTAGCCCTTCAGCAGCTCGTCTTCCTCTTCTTCGTCTCCCTCATTTCCCTCCTTCTCGCCCTCATCCCCGACCAAAAGCTCTGCGATTCGAACCACGGGGAGCCGTGCCTCCATTGCCAACGGTTTGGGTTGAAAATGGGGGGGGCGGTCTTGCATACCGGCAAAAATTTGCGAGAAGACAGGCATTAAATGGGACGCGTGCCGCCGGAGAAAGTCGGCGCGTGCCTGGATCTCTTCCTCCCGGAAACGAGCAATGCCGTCAACTGCCGATTTGACTTTCAAATCAAACAGTCGGGCGTAGGCGCGTCGTCGGGCCAATTCCAGCAAGAGCGCCTCGTAGGCCGTGGGCAGGTGCTCAAGGTGCTCCAAGTGATAGAAGTGTCGGCGTTCTGCCTGCATGGCTTGCTCCCCTAAGGACAGATTTACGCGCAGAGACTGGATGTCCCCCTGGAGGCGCGAGATCTCTGCCAGGAGCCCCCGGAGCCAGCGCGCCGTCCTCTCCTTCTGAGCAAAAACGGCCTTGAGCCGACCCACCATCGTCTCGTCCGTGCTGTCCAGCGACACCAGCACCCCTGCTTGCCGCGTCAAGAGCCCATCCAGCCACTGGCACGTGTCCACCAGCTTGGCAGAGGACGACGGAGAGGAGGACGGGAGGGCGTCCGGGCCTGCGGCCTCGCCCCCCAAGGAAGTCTCTATCCGCTCCAGCATCTCCGCGTGCCCGCCCTCCAAGAGGGCCACCGCCGTCTCTTGCTCGCTCAATCGGCGCGTGATTTCGTCCACCTCCTCCTGGGCCGCCGTCCCCATGTCGGCGGTGACCCTCAGGGCGCTGGGAGCCTCCACCCCTGCCTGCAGATCTCGGAGGGACGCCTGGACGTCACGCATCCAGGAATCCAAACGCTCCCTCGTCTCCCCGCATTCTCGGTACCATTCCGTCACCCTCCCAACGGGCACAGTGTCGTACAGGGTAATGCTTGAGGAGGAGGCCGAGCAGGCTTTCCGGAGGGCTTCGCACTCCACGCCGGGGGGAGAGGGCGAGACCCGACTGCTAGAGCTGCCTCCCTCCAAGGGCGACACGGACAGCTCTGTCACCGACCCCGTCGCAGACGATGACGACCATGTTCCTCCC